AAAATTCTTTTCTCTCACATAAGTCAAGGACCCCACTTGTCCTGACTCAAGGTCCTTTTCTCCTTGAAATGAGAATAGATAATGATCAGACAATGAGTAATAGACCCCAAATAAGTTCTTACTCCTAGGTAAAGACAGCAACTTGAGGATAACTAGACACATAAATAGACCCCAACAAGGCCATTTTCAAATGTAAAGAACAGGAGTGGGCACATTCTAGCCAACTCCTTCACCTCTCAATGGAGCTGGAAAATGGAAGGTGGGGATGAACCCAAATGTATAGGAAGAATTAGAGCAAAGGCTAAAGGACAGAGCCAGTGACTTTGGTATTTTTCCAATACCTATTTAACTCAGAGTTTGACCAATGGCTTTGGTACTTTTTCAAAGTCTGTGTAACAGATTTTGATTAATGCTCATACTCCCCAAAACCATGTAAGCCCCTAATCTAGCATATCAAAATGGATTTTCCTGCTATGAGGTCCCTTCCTGCATTGCAGGAATTCTATCTCTTCTCTTCTCACTTAAATAAATCCTACTCCATTCACTCTTCCCTTCCACAATTGTCCTTGGATTTTATTCTCCAAATTTGAGAGATAGGAACCCAGAAGGAAATTGGCAAAGCAGGGAATTAAGTCTCTTCTCAAATCTCCGGTTTCATCCTCACACCTCTTCTGATGACAACCACATGTCAGGTTTATCAGAAAGGAAAAAAAAAATTTAAATAGCCTGTGAACATGTTCACAGAACTAAAGGAAGTCATGATGAAAGAAGTAATTGAAGAGGCAATGACGATGTTGCATCAAATAGAGAATATCAATAACAAAAGTTACAAAAATGAGCTAAATGGAAAAGTAGAGTTGAAACACAACTGAAAAAATTCAATAGAGGGGTTCAACAGATTTGAACTGATGGAAGAATGATAGAGATTAGACAAGTTGAAGAACAGAGAGAAAAAAGAATGAAGAAATATGAATAGAACCTTGGAAATGTGGAAAGCACATTAGCAAAAATTTTGAAAGTCAAAGACACGAAGTAAATTTTTTTATATTTTATTTATTTATTTTTGATCTTAAGAAGTAAATTTTTTTTATTTTATTTTAAGAGAGAGAAATTTTTTTAATATTTATTTTTTACTTTTCAGCAGACACAACATCTTTATTTGTATGTGGTGCTGAGGATCGAACCAGGGCTGCACGTATGCCAGGCGAGCGCATTACCACTTGAGCCACATCCCCAGCCTCTTAAGAAGTAAGTTTTTAAGTAGCAAGAAAAAAATGACTTGTTACTTACAAAAAATTCCAATAAAATTAACAACTGACTTGGCAAAAACTATGACGGCCAGAAGGCAGTGGGATAAAATACTCTTAAGTATCAAAAGGAGGGCTGGAGATTTGTCTCAGAGGTAGATCTTTTGCTTAGCATGTGCAAGGTCCTGGGTTTTATCCCAGGTACCAAAAAAGAAAAAAAGAAAAGCCAAAGGAAATATTAACCAAAAATCCTACATATAGCAAAATTATTGTTCAAAATGAAGATGATATGGAGACTCACCCAGAAAATGAAATAATTTGATCTTGACAGACCTACCTTAGAAGAAACACTGAAGGAAACTCTTGAAGTTAAATGCGTGTGACCTCTTAGGAATACTAGGCAGCATTTCATCACTACCTTGGAGGCCATTATAAATCATAAAATCACCACCAACAAGCACAAAAATACAAAAGCACAGCACTTAGTAGGCCCCAAGAAGGACATTCATTTACAGTACGAGAGCTGAAACAAGAAGGCAGAGTGTTACCTTGTTCAAGCTCATCTGGGAACATATATGTTGGGCAACTCAAATATTTTTGCCACTGGGCACATGTCATGAAGAATGTTGATTTGTGCATTAAAACTTTTTGTAAGTAGGAAAATTTACAAGTAAGGAATTGTGAATAATTAACGTTGGGGCTGGGGATGTGGCTCAAGTGATAGCGTGCTCACCTAGCATGCATGAGGCACTGGGTTCGATTCTCAGCACCACATAAAAATAAAATAAAGATGTTGTTTCCACCTAAAACTAAAAAATAAATATTTTTTTAAAATAATAATAATTAATGTTGATTGTCAATATTAAATGTAAATGGATTAAATCACCCAATCAAAAGAAATGGCTTGCTAAGTAACCTGTACCTTGATTTAGACTAAAAAAAAAAAAAGTAGAATAAAAAATTTTAAAGGCAGAGTGACCTCCCTACCCCAGTTTCTAAGGGAAGCAGAAGTCTTCTCTGAGCTCTTGTCATAAAATAGGTAGTCATATATCTGGAGTAAGCATCTTTACTCTTCTGAAAACCTGAAGAAAGGAGACCTAGGGCTTACCCTTCTGATTTGAATTTATTTGAGTGCAGAATCAGAAAAACATGTATTGGCCAAACCTGAATTTGCAATAACACTGAGGTTAGGAGGAAGAGATAAGGCTAGGCAGATAGGGAAATGGGCCCCTGGGCAACTTCCTAGGCAGTAGAGCACAAATAGTAGCTTCAGGTTTTTGCTAAGAAACTTACAAAATGGTTATTTATTTATTTGTTTGTTTATTTATTTATTTTTAGTTTTTGACTTTTTATTATTCAAAGAAGCTTCTGACTCTGCTTCCCTGTATTCAATCCCCAGTACTAGGGCAAAGAGAAAAATATGGCATCTAACAGTGATGATTTTTAAAATGTTAATAAGGATTACGTGAACTAAACATTGCCATATTCCTAGGAATAAAAACTGGTATAATTTTTCTGGAAAGCAACTTGGCAATATATGTCAAAAGCCGAAAATGTTTATCAGTACATTGAAATTAATGATAGAAAACTGGAAACAACTTTAAATGTCCTACAACTACTTCATCAGGCAATAAGAAGCTGAAAAATAAATTATGTGTTTATAAAGGAAAACTTAAAAGAAGCCTTTAAAAAAAAGTTGCAAAAGAATATTTCTTGTCATGAAGAAATGTTTACCAGGATGTATATAGCTAAATGAAAAAAACTGATAAAGTCAATATGCATAGTATTATGTTTAAATTTTTGGTGGTGTGTTGTATATATAGAGAGAAAATATTAAAAAAACATAGCAGAATTATTGGTTAGTGCGTGAATATTCATCTCCATCTCTAACTGCAGACCCATATTATGTTCTCCCTTGTTGGCAGAATGTACTGCAGTATGCTCTGAAAAACTGACTCTTCAATTGTGTCTTCAATTTAAGGGGTAAATTTGATTCATCCAGTCCAGATATGGTGACCCATTTCCTCCTACTAGTGATTGGTTTAGGAATAGACAAATGATATATAGGAAAGTCTGGGAAAAGAAGGAACAATCTCTCTTCAGATGAATATTAAATATTGGGATGAAGTCTAGAATGGCAGCAGCTGTGTTGAATCTTGAAGGCAGAGAAGGGAGGTGGAGTCCTGGAATCCATACTCCCTTATCCCCTGCACTGGGGACTGAATCCAGAGCTTCACACATTCTAGGCAAGTACTCTACCACTAAATTATGTCCCCAGTCCTTTTTTAATTTTTGTTTTGGGACAAAACAGGTTAAACAAGCAAGTACATAATTCTCAGGGCACACACATTGCCTTTAATTTGTCTCTTTTCCTCACATTAGCTTCAGAGACTCACCCAGAGAACTGATTTGTCCAGGCTGGCCTCGAACTTGCCATTCTCCTGCCTCAGCCTCCTCAGTTGCCACTGAGGTATACACCACCCAGCTAAGACCTGAATTCTTTTTTTTTTTTTTTTGGGGGGGGGGGGTAGGAGGGGCATTACTGGGAAGCTGTAAAATAAATTATGTGTTTATAAAGGAAAACTTTATAAAAGAGGCACTTTACGAATGAGCTACGTCTCCAGCCCTTTTTAATTTTTGTTTTAATACAGGGCCTCATTAAATTGCTTAGGGCCTTGCTAAGTTGCTGAGGCTGGTCTTGAACTTGCAATCTTCCTACCTCAGTCTCCCAAGCCCCTGGGACCACTGTGCCCGGCTCATACCTGGCTTCTTGATGACTTCAGTGAAGTGCTGAATTAACCAATTTTGGAGTGACCCCTTTCTCACTCTTTTTAATGTGAGATAACAAAATGTCTCATTGTTTGAACTGTTCTGAGTTGAATTTTCCATTTCTGACAGTGAAAAGCATCCTAAATGATTCAGATATTTTTCTTTTTCTTTTCTTTTTTTCTTCTTCTTCTTTTTTTTTTTTTTTGGTACCAGGGATTGAACTCAGGAACATTTAACTATTGAGCCACATTCCCAGCCCTTTTTAGGTTTCATTTTGAGACAGGGTCTCATTAAATTCCTTGAGGGTTTGCTAAATTGCTGAGGCTGGCCTCAAACTTATAAATCCTCCTGCCACAACCTTCCAAGCCACTAGGATTGCAGGTATGCGCCATCGCCTGTGGCTGATTCAGACATTTTTCAAGATGTTAACAGTGATTATCTCAAAATTATGAGATCATGGATTTTTGGGTGCTTTTCCACATTTTCCAGTTTTTTTCCATGTATAACTTTTTTAAGAGTTCACAAGAATTACCAAGTTCTTAAATGGAGCAATTGCGGCAATGAAATGCATAGGAGGGAGGAGTTAATAACCATAGAACCCGAAGCCTAGAAAACCCTGAATGTTCTGGGAAGAACAGATGCTTCATATTCTCTTTTACAATTTTTCAATTTGTATTTATAAGTAGCTCTGTTTTTAGGAGTCTGTCTCCTAGCCACTTAGCCTGGACTCCTTCTGGATGTTAATGCCTGACTAGATCTGTCAAAGGGTAGATCCTGGAGGCTGAGGGTGGAGCTCAATGGTAGAGTGCTTGCCTAACATATAGGAGGCCCTGGGTCTGAGCCCCAGCAACACACAAAAAGAAAAAAAAGAAAAAGAAAAAGAAAAAAAAGGGATCCTGGTAGCAGAAACTATCTTCATGGCGTAGAATCAGGGAACCCGAGGGGATCTAAGTAGATTCCATGGCTAGGAACAGGTCCATCCAATTGGTTTGGTCTTCACTTTAGTGTCAAACTTTTCTGCTGTACAGGTTAAACAAGCGAGTACATAATTCTCAGGGCACACACATTGTCTTTAATTTGTCTCTTTTCGGGACTGGGGATGTGGCTCAAGTGGTAGCGTGCTCTTCTGGCATGGGTGCGGCCCGGGTTCGATCCTCAGTGCCACATACAAAGATGTTGTGTCTACCTAAAATTAAAATGTAAATAAAATATTTTTAAAAATAAAAAAAATAATAATTTGTCTCTTTTCCTCACATTAGCTTCAGAGACTCACCCAATGTGAATGGCACCAGCCAGCCCATTATTTTATCTAATGATTCTTACTATTAGATGGTAAAATCAAGACATTCAGCACCCATTCTACCCATTGCTAGGGTTATTCCACCTTCACTCCTGCATGAACTAGTGGTTTCAAAATCTCTAATTCGAAACAGAATATCATAAATGCTTTTAGCCAAAAGTCACTAGTACCCAGTAACAGTGGCGTAAGCAATGAAGACATTTTTATTCAAATAAAGTCTGAGGTACCAAGGCAAGACATGATGCAGTGCCACAGTATTAAGAACTAACCTGGGCCAGTGTGGTGGCGCACTTCCCTGTAATCCCAGTGGCTTGGGAGGCCAAGACAGGAAGATTGTGAGTTCAAAGCCAGCCTTAGCAAAAGCAAGGCATTAAACAACTCAGTGAGACCCTGTCTCAAAAACAAAATACAAAATAGGGCTGGGGATGTGGCTCAGTGGTTGAGTGCCCCTGGGTTCAATCCCTAGTACTAAAAAAAAGAAGAAGAAAGAAAAAAGAAAAAGAACTAACTCTTTTAGTGAACTCATGAGCACCACATATAAATAAGTTAAATAAAATCTACAACTAAAAAAAAAGAACTAACCTCCTTCCATTGAGCCATTTCCACATCCTTAGCTTTTGGCTTATCCCCTCCTGACTGCAACAGGCTGCCCAATTCCTGACATACATGCACAATCAAGGCAAGAAAGAGGAAGAGGGAACATGGACAGTTATGTCTGCTCATGTCCACAGGAAAGCATAAGATACTCCTTATGAATCTGTTAGTCAGCTTTCTGTGACTGTAACAAATGCTTGAGATAAATCAACATAAAAAGAGGAAGGGCTTATTTTGACTCACAGTTGTGGAGGGTTCAGTCGGTGACTGAGTGACCCTGTTCCTTTCTGGGCCTGTGGTGAAGCAGCACATCGTGGAGGGGAGCCCGTGGTAGAGCAAAGCTGCTCATGTCATGGTGGCCAGGAAGTGAAAAGAAATGGCAAGGGGTTGGATAGACACGATCCCCATCCAGGGCATGCTCCCCACTTATGTAAGACCTCCCACTAAGCCCCACCTCTTGTTTGGGGAGACTTCTAGGTCCAACTGGTAGCAAGTGTATTGACTGGAATTATGTGGTCACCCATCTGCAAAAGAGACCAGAAGACAAGAAGTTTTCCATCCTCTGTATCGGACATATAAAAGAGAGAAGGTGATTTGGAAAGGGTAGTAGGTCGGTCAGCTAAAAGGAACTGCCATAAGGAGTTACAGTCTGCAAAACGGACTGGAGTCCTTGCCTTGAAGTTGCTGAGCTCTGAAACCATCTACTCCCACACTCAGTCTGGACACAGGACCCAAACTGCATCTTACCGTTTAGATTAACATGACTTTGTGCTATTTCTTTGTCTTCATTAACATTACGTTTTTCAAAATTTAGACAGTCCACAGAGGGTGGAGGAGGTAATCAGGAATCATAAAGGGCTGGCCTCACACCCAGAGCCTGAGGTCTGAAAAGTCTTCACACTGAAACGTTGCTCTTCCTAAAGTCATCTTGGGGGCTGGGGATATAGCTCAGTGCTGAATGGGTCATGTGAAGCCCTGGTTCAATTCCCAGCACCCAAAAAAACAAAATCACAAAAAACTAAAGTCATCCTTCCCATAGAGACAAATAAGCCCCCCCCCGCCTCCCCCCGCCCCGCCCCCTCACTCACCCAGCAAAGAGCACAAATTTAAATTAAATCGTGTGCTCCCAGCATGGAGGGGCTTTGCAGGCAGCTATCCCTTATCACCCTGCTGATGTCTTCATTCTCAGCACCATTTTTCCCCTTTAGAGAAGTTTTTCTTGACTCTTCTTTAGTCTACTTTGATAAGCATACAAGTCTCACATTTCCCCTATAAGAGTTAGTAGAAGGTTCAAGAGAACATAAACATCATGGCAAAAAAAACAAAACAAAGCAATGGCAACATTCAAGAATAGATGTATTTTTAAGTGCATGTTTTGATACAATTAATATGCATTCATAATTATAATTTTCTAAAAAGTACACATTTTTAAATCTTCCTGATGTGATGTTAAAATGAGCCCTAGGCTGACAGGCTTGTCTTAAGTCCCAAAGTGTAGAAGGTGCAGCATTTTCCAAACCAACCCTGTCACCCTTGGTTCACATAGCCAGAGGGGTGGACAAGTCAGCAAATGTTTCTTGAGAGAAAAGACAAAATGGCATATGATGCCAGTTCTCTTCTTTAACCCCGAAGTCCCCAGTGTGCTTTTATAAATGTTTTCTTATGCAACTGACTCAAAGTTGTATCATCTAAACCCTTCTGGAAGCTTTTTCTGGCAAACGCTGAATATTAGGAAGAAAGAGTTTTTCACTGGAGTTTTGCAAAGAGAATTTTCCTCAACACAAGGAAAAGTGATAGCACGAGGTTTGCATGCAGCTGGGCTGGATGGGGTTGGATTTTGTTTTTCTTGGTCACCAACCTCAAAATCCTTGTCCTTTAGAGAATCATCAAGATGAGGGATTGAAAAGACATTTTAATATCCACTTGAAACATCCACAGATGTATTTGCATTACAAACATTGCAAGGAAGCACAAGGTTGGCATTTGAGCCTATATATTTCAGATTAAATGTCTTCCGAGCTTCAATTCTATATTCCAAATAAAACAAGCTCAATTAGCCTTTTTTGAAGTTAATGTTAGCCTAGTCCCAAAGTAGGGCAATAGTTTCTAAATTTAGCCCAGTGAATATTTCTTGGGCCACCCACAAATTTAGTATGGGACTGAAGAAATGTTTATACATTTGGCATTGGCATTCAGATATTCACAAAAGCAGGCAAATAAATCTGGGTGTTATCTCCTTGCCCCCCTCATTCCCTTGATGGTCTGCATTCAGTCCCTCAAAAACCCACTACAGACTCTAAACTTACTGATTCTTTATCCTCTTTCCCTTCTTTCCTTCCTGTGTTCAGGTTCTCATTTCCTACCTCCTCTGAGAATATGACAGACTCACTTTCTCCATTATCTAGCATCCAGCTTCTAGCTGGCAACCAAATGCTGTCATTAAGAGGTGGGGCTGTAAGAAGGGATTAGGCCCTGTGGGGGCTCCTTCCTCAAAAGGCGTCCTTCTGTCACATGAGGATACAGCAAGAAGGCTCGCACCAGAAGCCATCACTTTGATCTTAGACTTTTTAGTCTCCAGAAGTGTGAGAAAATAAATTTCTGCTCCTAGGTATTTCCCAGTCTTGGGTCTTCTGTTACAGCAACAAAAAACGGACTGTCAGTCATTTGCTGTCCATTCCTGCCTGCTCCCCGCCTCCTCTGCCTGAGCCTACCAGCCTTTCAAACAAGCTCAATCTCTTCCATCTTAAAGAGGTACCCCCAATGCTCCTTTGCCCACTTCTCATCTTCCCCTCTACAAACAAACTTTCAAAGAGAGTTGTCTTATTTCTTCACCTACATTCATTAAAGTACCCCCTTTGGGTTGCTGTTTTTTACATTGGGATTATTGAACCCAGGGGTGTTTAACCACTGACCCACATCTCCAGCCCCTTTTATATTTTATTTTGAGACAGGGTCTTGCTAAGTTGCTTAGGACCTTGCTAAATTGCTGAGGCTGGCCTCAAACTTGTGATCCTCCTGCCTCAGCCCCTGGAACCACTGGGATTACAGGTAGTGCACCAGTGGGATTACAGGCAGTGCACAACCAGCTAGTCCCTACTCATAGCAACTCAAAATAAAACAAAAACCTACAGTCCCTAAAAACAGAACACGCTTACTTTGTATTTTCAGTAGAAATCGTAGCCCAGATGGCATCAAACATGGAATCCCAGCAACACCCTTTGGCTGATCAGTGTGTGCTGAGCACCGCCTGGGCCTGGTAGCTTGTTTTGAATGCTTTCTTCTCCTGCCTTCTCCACATGCCCATCCGACTCACATATTGCATTTGGATTTCTGTATTTCATTTCAGAAAAAATAAGTTCTTAAAATAAAACCAAAATATTTTATATGCTGTTTCCCAATCTGAGAATCAGATCTGCGCCCTTTCACCCGCTTGGTTGAGAATCACTGAACTAAACAGTAAAACTGCAGAGAAATAATATTCCTTCCTTCTCGTAAGTGGACCATGGATCCAGCCAGTCTTTCTGCATCAGCAGCAGTGACATCGCCAGGAAGTATAGACAATTAGAATGCAAACACCGCCTTGCAATTAGAGCCTCCCAATGCCAGCTGACCTTTTTTCTCTCAGTGGAAATGTCACTGTCATGTTTCTCTTTTATTTGTAACTAAGAATGAATGTCGTCACCCACAATCTCTTTCTCCTCTGATTACCAGTCACTATATAAATAACACAATTGCAGGTAATTAAATTTCTGAAGACTGCAGGCCTATTTAAAGGGAGGCAATCCTTAGTTTAAGGAAGAGTACAGATAGTACCTAGGGAGTTCATGTACTGGGGGGAGGGTACCCAAGTATCTTTAGATTTTAAATAATTTCAAGATAATTCCTAGTTCTAGACTCAGGAAATCATTGGCCATTAATTCATTTAGCACACTTTAAAGTAGCTAAAGTACTGTGTAACTTCCTGTGGTCGCAAGGTCAAATAAGACAAGGCTCCTGAGCTCTAATTAGTGGAAGAAAGATAACTAATCAGACATGTTTTAGCATTATAGTTTATACACATGTGTGTGTGCAATCTATATAAAATATAATAGATATAATGGGCTTACAAAACACCAGAGCTCAATGGAAGGGGAAGGAGCCAGAGAAGAGTCTGGACAAGGTCTTGCGATCCCCCTGCCTCAGCCTCCTGAGTCTCTGGGATTACAAGCATGCACCACTGTGTCTAATTTGGACAGGGTTTTGGACAATGTATTAGAAGATTCTAGGTGATACTGTAATGGATGATTGTAAAACCCTCAGTTTACTACCAGTGAAAGTTCATTTCTGTTGGGTTAGGCTGCCATCCTCCACGTTTTTCTCTGTACCATCTAACATAGGTGCCTCCAAAGTCTCCTCAGTAGAGAAGAGAGCAGTGGGTTTTTTATTTTATTTTTATTTTTGTGGTGCTGGGGATTGAATCCAAGGTCTTTGTGCATGCCAGGCAAGTACTCTACCACTGAGCTACATTCCTCACCCCTTTTAATGTTTATTTTGAGCTGGGCATGGTGGTGCATGCCTGTAATCCCAGCAATTTGGGAGGTGGAGGCAGGAGGATCAGAAGTTCGAGGCCAGCTTTGGCAAGTTAGTGAGAGCATCTCACTTATAGGACTGGGGATGTAGCTCAGGGGTGAAATGTCCCTGGCTTCAATCTCCAGTTTCATTTTACTCTTTATTTTGAGACAGGGTCTCACTAAGTTGCCAAGACTGGCTTTGAATTTTTTTATCCTCTTGCCTCAGCTTCCAAAGTAGCTGAGGTCACAGACACGGACCACTGTGTCCAGCAGTAGTGGTTCCTTTCTCCACTTTTTAAATACCTTGTCTGAGAAGTAGCACATGTCACTTTTGCTCAAGGTTCACCAACCCCAACCTAACTTCTAGAGAGGCTGGGGAGGAGGGAAACAAGCAAATGTCTGATGAGTACCCCTCTACAGACAATAAGTTGGAATTCACCTCAAAACGGTTGGGGAGGGTGACCCAATATGCCAAGGAAGAGAAATAAGAGCTTGGGAGTCTTGGACAGCAGCAATGAAGAGATGGTGGGTAGGAGGCGAGGCAGCGGTTGGACCTCAGGGAACTGGGGTGGTGAGGACACCTAGAGCAATGCCACACCAAGAAATGAGGACTTCACCTTCTGGAACCACTACCAAGCATTGACAGAGATAGTTTTTTGTTGTGGCCCATTCTGTCCCCATTCTGACACAAGGCCCCTGTAGACCTTCAACAAGACTCATTTTGAGGTGTCCTTGATCTCTAGACACTGGCTGCCCCCCCCCTCTTTATTTCTTTAAACTATATTGATTACATAGGCCAATTACATAGGCCACAGCCATTAGAGGACATGGAAGGCTGCTGGTGTGACCAGAATTGCAGTCTCTGGCCTGATAGTAGCCCTTTCTCAGGGCCAGACAGCCATGCACCTGGCCTGGAAGCTTACCTGGGCTTCTGAGGTCACAGCTGGTCCTCAGTGACAGGAAGGGAGAGGAGTCCTTGCAGGCATGGTGTCTGTCTGAATGTCCAGATGGCCAGCAAAGCTGAAACAGAGGGAGGTGTGTTACTGTTCTGGAACTGTACCCTCTTCACAAATGACCTTGGTACGCAAGGACCAGCTCAGATCCAGCAGCCAAGCAAGCCACTCTCACTGCAGCAGAAGGTGGATTGTTCCAGAGCAAACTCCAGCTGTCCTCCTCTATATTTTCAGAGCCTGGGGCAAGAGTAAACTAAGCATACCTTGTATTGAAAACTGCTCCTCTACAAATACAAGATTGAAAAATATGTGAAAACTCTGACTTTTGCATGGCTAAAAGTTGGCAGGCTATTAAAGAAGATGGAATTTAATTATCATTGCACATGTCTGGGTGTTCTTTTGAGAAGAAGTTTGGATGGGTAAAAACATAAATTATTAACTATTACATGTGTGTTCCATAAAATTAGTTTTTCCTGTGTTCCTTACAGCAAAATTATGTTGATGCAACTAAGGATTCTCACATGATTTGTGTTCTTTTGGCAGTAATCATCTAAAAACAGAGATTGGCGAACTTTTCCAATAAAGCTCCAGGTAGGAAGAGTTTTACATTTTCTGAGCCATGTGCTTTCTGTGAAACCCATTTGCCTCTGCCACCAGGACTCGAAAACATCCACAGACAAGATGTAAACAAATGAGCAGCATCAGAACTGTAGCCCATACCTGTAATCCCAGTTATTCAGGAGGCTGAAGCAGGAGGATGACAAGTTGTAAATCAGCCTAGGCAACTTAGTGAGACCCTGTCTCAAGGTAAAAAATAAATAAAGGTTGGGGAATGTAACTCAATGGTAAAGAACCCCTGAGGTCAATCCCCAACATCACCAAAACAGAAAGAAAAGAAAAAGAAAAACAAAGGTGACTGACTAGATTTGGCTTTCAGGATTAAAAATAAAATGTGATGTACAAAATTTGCATATATTTTATAATATTGTAAATTAAAAATGATGATTGTTACCAAATATTCCTCAGCCTGTTCTAGAACATGAGTTGCAAATACTATGTAAAGATGTGAGTACCTCTAGAGCCACCAATTAGAATACAAAGAAAAAAACCAACAACAACAGCCATTCAACGCTACCAGGAACCAATATTTTATCATGCCAGAATCTGTTTCATCTGTTCTGTGTCAGAGGAGGGTTGAATAATTTAATTAAACCTATCTTTTCTTTTTTATGTATTTTTACTTTTCCACTCCCCGCCCCCCCCCCCTCCCCCCACCCCCCTTCAAACAAACTTTTTAGCATCTCTTTCTCTCTTTCTAATGTTGGCAGTGATTCAGTGAGACACTTCCCAGGCATTTGGAAGCCATCACTTTTTGCACTTTTAATTTTGCCAATGCAGGGCAAGAGACATGGAGAAGCATCTCCTGGGCCAGGGGGGCGTTGTGATATGGGTGGATGTTTACAGTGATGGAAGATGATAAGAACAGGACCTTGAGCGACAGGGTACACATGTGATTTTTTTTTTAATAGTTTTTACTCCCACTGTGTTGCAACTTATTTATTTTAGTTGTAGTTGGACCTAATACCTTTATTTTATTTATTTATTTTTATGTGGTGCTGAGGATCGAACCCAGGGCCTCGCACGTGCCAGGTGAGTGCTCTACCTCTGAGCCCCAGCCCCAGCCCTGAGTATATGATTTTTGATAAATTAATTTTTTATGTTTATGCCAAGTCTTT